TATAGTAGCTACACCAATTAATGCTTACTATATTAACAAGCTAATTTTAGCTTTTAACAGTGACTGCAGCTACATTACAGTAAATATCTGATTATTAGCCAACTATTGTTAGCTTTAAAAGTTGGTTACACGACCGTTATAGATACTGTGTGTAAATACTTAATAAAAACTACATTAGAGCTAGAATATGTGGTGCAACCCTTTTAAATTCTGCAATGCTTCTCTACTTTCCTAAAATTAAACGTAATAACTCGGATAAATCTCAACTAAAAAAAACAGCTGGTGCAACGGTTCTTCTTTCTTTCCAGTGACCAGAATGGAAACAAATCATCAAGCGTTTGTTAGCATTAGCACAGCACAATGCTTCATTCCGTCTGCACTCATTTATTCAAGATTTCAACAGCAAAAAATGTCCAACTGTAAATGTGCCGCAGGAATTTTGACAGACGAGCAGTAAAACCTAGGACAGAGAACCGTAAGAAAGGCAGCAATAGCAGGGATTGACGTATCCATTTGTCATATTAGCACATTTGTCGAATTAGTGAAAAAGAATCAATCAGATAAAAACACTTTGTTGTCTAAAGTGCTCTTAATTTTGTAGCCCAACACTAGGGGCTTTAATTTGAGCGTTTTTTTGCCTGTTGTTTTGCTTGTTTTATTTTCTTCCTCTTCTTAGGTTGTTGTTGCTTTTTGATATGATTACTGCATCTCTCCAAACAATGTCATTCTGATTTAAGTCGGCTTTGATGAACTACCTCACACTGAATTTCTGCCAGTTCTTGCATATATTTAGTCGCCTGCAGAATTAGCTATCGAAGACGTGTGAATAACAGATTCCATTATTTATTTATTTGAAAGTGTACTATTTGTCGGTTTCAACAGACTTCTAGTTTTGTACATTATGTATACTTCACCTAGAAGTAAGAGAATTGTTCTATGTATTTTTTTTGTTTTGTTTTTGTTTTTAAACTAAATGTGCAATACCTTCAGCAAACTGTGCTAGTAGTATGTGATGGGCCTAGCCTTTGTTAGCTGTCTCCTGAAGGTAAAGAAAATGTTTGGTACTGTCAATCCATGTTTTCCTTTTTTATGAATAAGATCAATTTTTATTTCTGTGACTTGTTTATAGTCATATTATGTAATCAGTCTTACCCACCAAACAAATCTGTAAACCAGGGTTTGATTTAGGGACAGAGGGTTCTTTGAGTCAGAACATGGCAGACAGATAGACTTTCGGGATGTGGTAAAGACAATAATGTTAGTAAACACAAAAAAAAAAAGATGAGTAAATACCTACAAGAAATCATTAAATGTATGGTGCTGGTTTGTAATGTTTGCTAGTGAATCCAGCCATGCAAGTAGAATTCCTGGATCTGCGCGTCCCAAAAACCGCAGCCAACGAAGACGTGCACTAATAGAATACACGCACTGGGATCTGATGATGCCACCTCTTTAAAAAATATTACAAAATAAAAAAACATGTACTGCAAATAAAAGAAATACACTTTGATCTGTGGTCGTAAGTTATCATCTTTGCTAAATATTCAGGCACTACGGTTAAATTCTGTTTTGGACAAACCAAGTACTTTTATGCGGTATACAGTAATTATATTATTGATTATTCTTCGGGCTGCAAATTGATTTGGAAAATAATATCCCAGTCTTTAATTTGAAATGTTTATCAATCTAATTACATGTATCTGTCCAGTTTCAAAGTAACTAGGTGGAAAAGCTTGATTTAAAAATAATCTCACGATTTTGTGGAAAGCCCTTTTCACTGATTTGTCTTAATACATAATTACGAAAATATCAAATCAACCTGCAGCCTTTTAAATATTACCAAAACAAAGTTTCATGAGTAAACACGAGATACACCCTTTTTGTCTTTTCATGTCTGTCTATAACGACAGACATGAAAAGACACTGGTTTGTTAGAAGAGATCAAATATGCCAAGTTCACAAATGATCTTTTTCACCTTTATTCCCATACATGTCCATTCATTACAATAGTGGAAAGCCATAATAAATAAGCACCATAGATGACCAGCAGAGAAATAAAAAACGCTTTCAATCGTGAGACATACATAAGAGGAAAATTATTGTCTCTGTTGGAATCAAAGAACCTGCTTTAGACTTTATACTGTTGACTCTAGTGTTGGTCGTACATAGGCCTCAACGGAAAAAATACCTTGTAAGCCTAAGCAATTAACAAGCTTTGTGTTCCTTTATGTAAAAAAAAAAAAGAATAAGTCACATTATCCAACTGAAAGCACACTTTCACTTATAATCATATATACTGTTTGTGGCGCCTTTAAAGGAACAATTGTCACTAACCACTTGTGGACATTCTTCTGATTGGTGATAAGTTGCTAAAAGACATTTTCAGCAAAGTAACAACATGCAATTCTCCAAAAACCAATATCTGCAACTCTTCATTTTGGAAATACAAATTAATCCCATGAACTAGTAATCCCATATTACATCACATGTAATATGGGATGCACCCCCCCCCCCCCCGTTTGCCCCATCGTTTCCTTTTTCTTTTTTCATTGGGCTGGTTTCATCGACAACACGTTACATTCACTACAAGTATACATTCTCGATTCAAAACTTCCATTCAATTCACAATTCACTTCCACAAGAATTGGCACCTTCTGGGGAGATCAAGGTATTCATCTTCAGCAGTTTGTCGCCATATATATATATATAAAAAGAAACAACAATGCCGCCACTGTGTGTACTATGGGCCAATATATGCACTACATCTCTGGACAAGCAAGCAACACTACCGTTTTCCTATTTCAAAACACTTTCCTGAAGGCACAACCAGGAAATTCCATTGTTTTTTTGAGGGCAGTGTTCAGCTTCATGTGCCAAAATCAACATGTCTTCCAGGCAGGCCATTCTGATCTTTAGTGAGCGAACAGCTGAGGCGGTCCAGCTTTGGTATTGACTGTGCACCGTTAATGGTCTTCACCAACTGGGCCACACTGAGGCAGCATGCGCTAAGTTGAACATTCTTAAGGAAAATGTGTTCATCATCCCTGTTGTGTTTTTCTGCACATTAAAGGTATATTGACATCTGTGAGGTTCGGAGTCAACCGAAGACTGAGGCTTTGCCATCAAAGGGACATGGAAACCATGTAGATGGTGACGAGAGGCACTGAAGAGGCAACTTTAGAGGTTCCACCTACTACTGCTTCAGATTGGTTGAGTGACCAAACAGAATAACCTAGAAAACCTGGATTTCTGAACCTGCTCCACAGTAAAACAGCCTCATGTGTTTGCAGCACAAATACAGGACAGCAGGATAAACAACCTCTGCTAAAGCTGTTATTAAAGTTCACTCAAATCACACAAACCCTCTAGCCATGCTAATAGCTTTAGAGATATCAGCCCAATAAATGTAAACCTTTCAACTTTCATTTCTGGTGCTTATTCCAATTATAAGTCCAGAAACAGTTAACCGTTTGTTACTCTGTATAACGCACAGCACCTTTTAAAATAAACCTACTTCTGTATCTTCAAACCCAGCCAGTGGTTAGCTACCACTTCAGGGTAATGAACATGTGAATAAAACCATATCCCAAAACTGTGATGGAGTATTTGGGCCACTTAAAGGGAAATTAAACATCTTGAGATCTTTAGAATGAAGGCATTATATTAGAAGAATAAAGTTGTAAATAAGGAGGACATTTTACGAGAACAAAATTGCAATTTTACATGAAAAAGGTTGCACTAATTAAAGAATTAAGTTGTAGCGCTCATGAATTAAACCTGATGCTTATTTCCTCAATAAATTATTCTCATAATATTAGGCCTTTTTTCTAAATAAGTTGTGACTTATTTAGAAAAAAGGCCTCTAAATTACTAATTCATTCTTAATCCTCAAAATATCATTTTTTTTCTTCAGTATGGCCCAAATAAAAAACATCTAATTTCAAGATAAGTATCAGATTAAGACGCATTTTAATCAATCTTAAAGTTTCGGCTTGAAGTGTTGCCTTGTAGTGGTTTTTCATGTTGTGGTTTCAGAGGTCAGTGCTCTCCAGGTCAGAGAATGTCATGAAGTTCCACCAGTCACATATGATTCCAAGCTGTTAAAATACTGCCTTTACCTTTACATACATTACCCTGGAGTGTGATCACAGGAGCACCAGCTGACAAGGACTGCACAGTCAGTCCCAGTTTGATATTACTTCCTTCAGAATGTCCTCTTCCATCTGAGTTTGTAATCAAATATGGCCAGTTCCATTATTCTCTTGCTGTGTTCTTCTTTTAAAGGAACGCCCTGATGCTCTGAGGAAGGCGTTAAAAAAAAAAACACTCAGCGTCCAAAATATAAACCCTGATGACGGCCACAGTTTTGGCCGAGAGACCGATGAGTGGCCCTGACGTATCAAATGTCGCTAGTCCTCGCACCCAGGGCCAGATCTCCCAGCGTGGAAAAGAAATCCTCCATCTCCTTCTCCAGGAGCCGGTTGCGGTTCTCCGCATCCTCTCTTGCCCGTTCTGAGTTTCGCAGTTTGATCTCCAGCATGCGTTGCTTCTTCCTTTCCTGCTCCATCTCTTGTTCCAAACGCTCCATCTGTGCACACAGAGCAGCGCTGGACTCTTCTAGCCTGAGGAGAAGACAGACAGAAGAAAAGGGTCATTGAAATTCACCTTTACTTCCCAGTAATGTTATTACATTACTGTTAGAAAACATGTATTGTTGTATGATTGTACATAATGTAACAAGAATTTGTCTGTATCAATTCCACTAAATACGAACTTGACAGCAGACTCCATTTTGTCTGTATTAACAATTGCAAAGGACACTTGATAGTGAACAAATGATTTGACTCCCATTGAAAACACAATGAGCACCACAACAACCTCAGAAGAAGAAGTTTCGGAAATGCTAACGCAGAGACTTACTTTTGTATCCTTGCCTCGTAGGAAGTCTTCTGTTTCCTCAGCTCGTCCTTCAGTCCTTCCACCAGACTGCTCAGGGTTAAATTTACCTCGTCCCCATCCTCAGACATGATAATGGAGGGCACGCCAGTTGCCGCAACCGTGTTTCCATTCTCGCTGCAGGCCGCACTGCTGCTGCACAGCTCCATGGCCTCGCAACTGTCCTGCTCAGAGCTCGGGTCCGTTATCATCCCTCCATCCCTCCCTCTGTCGATCTCCCGCTGGCTCTCCATCCAATCCCCCTTATCCTCACTCTCTCCACAGTTTTGGTTCGCTGAAGGCTCGCTCGCCGAGTCTGGAACAGAGATTTCGCAGGAGGAGGTGGACCATGGGGCGCTGGATACGCTCGGTACGCTCCCCATGCTGGAGGAGGAGGTGACATTGTCGTAGGTGGACAATCTTTGCGAAGAGCCAGTGGAGTCGCGGTCACGGGCGGACCGCTCGCCTGAGGATGTGCGCCGGTGTCCCCTCAAGGATGACAAACCATTCATGAGCCAGTTACCACCACCACCACCACCACCACCTCCTCCCCCACCAGAAGATACACTAGTTGTATCTGCCACGGAGCCGCTGCTTTGCTTGGCTTGTGGCTGAGAACGCGGCGCTGAGGAGCTTTTGAATGAGTACTTCCAGGAAGGAATGGTCTTGGCTTGTTTGCTCGGGCTGACCACCGTCTCGCCCTTCCCTGACGAAGACCCCAGTTTTGGTCCAGGGTTTGGGTTCGGGCTTTGGGTGGGTGTGACTGCCGCACACAGTTTGGCGTCCAGGGACGAGGCACTGCTGTGTAGCTCTTGGTCGGGGTTGGAGACTGGGCAACTCTGAAGGTCCTCCTCAGAGATCCAGGCTCCCAGGCTACGATGTTGCAGCTGATGCCCCTGGATGGGGAGTTCTATTTGAGGTATGGTGAGTCCCTCCTGGTCCCTCCCTGAGTACAAACGGTTGTGTTCCCTAATGAGGATTGTCATCAGGTGCTGGACCAGAGAGGTGCCTGGATGATATGGAACAGGCAGAACGATCAAAGATTTATGTATTCAATATGTATAATTGTCATTACTTCTAGCTGCATTGCAATGTGGGATTTTTCAGTAGTTTGCGGTGACTATATTGTCCATACCTTCCATGATGGTGACTGGGTCCTCCATCTTGGGTCGAAGGATATTTGGTCCAAATACTGTGGCGAGGTTTTGGACACTCATCTTGTTCTCAGTACAGTGGGACTGGACCTCATCAAGGAATCTAAACGGATAAAGAGTTAAATTCTGAAGTTAAAAACCGTAAACATTGGCTCCTGAATTCTTATGTGTTAATTATCATTCCGGAAACAACCAAAATGGATCAAATAAACATGTGTCAATGTGTCAGTTACTGTTGTTCTCCCTCGGAATCAGTGCACTCACTTGCATATGTACTTGAGGAGATTGAAGTTAGGTAGAGGTAGAGTGCTAACTTGATTTCCAAGCTCCTGGACCCCCTGATAAAAGAGAGGTTATATCCGTTTTAGGCACAACATTACACACACACACACAACATTACACACACACGCACACAAACGTAATCTTTTACTTCTTCTGTATGAGCTATGTCACTCATTGCACTGTTAAGACTTATGGCAAATCATTTTCTTCTCTGTGTGTGGCTATAGGCTCCAAAGAAGACCCACGCTTTGGCAGTTCAGGGAGCAGAGCGTGTTGTCCACTGAAAAGACAGTTGGCAGTTTTTATCCCTGTCTCAACCCTTTCCACATACAGAGGTGTCCTTGAGCCACTGAACTGAACACCACGTTTCCCCTGACGGCCGTGACGACAGTTTGTGATTGATGTGTGATTGAGAAAGTGCTGCACATAGATGCAATGTATGAATGTGTGTGTGAATGGAAAAACTGTGTATAAATAGAAAGGTGTATATAAATACAGACATTTACGGGTTGAAACGATGGCCCCAGGCACACAATATGTTTTTTTTTTTTAACTTCATTTTATTTCATTTGTATTTAAGTTCATTTTATTCATTTAAAATATGAATAAATGTTTAAGCTTTATGAATAAATAATAGAAAAAGCAGATACATAAAAAAACACACATAATAAATATTATAAGCTCAGTTTTTTTGAAGATGAGGGGTGGACCAAAGACCTGGTTGGCGCACCTTGACTAAGGAGAGGGAGCACGCTGGGAGAAGGACAGTGCACCTCCTGTGTCCTTCCAGAGGAGACGGGTTCAGTTCCCAAACCCAAACAGAATTCTAACCTTGACCCTGAAAGGTTTTAAGTGTCAAGGTTTTGTCTTTTTGACCCTCAAACAGACCTTAAGAAAAATTGGGGACCAGTCTAAATGTCCTTACTTTCCCAAAATGTCCTCACTCCATAAGGTCTATGCTCATAATACTCCTCAGAAAGTACAAGTACACAAACACAAACACACACTTGCACATACCTCCTCCTCATCTTTGGCCAAAAGCTGTGCACAGGTTAGAAAGTCTTCATATTTGGAGAAGGGAATGACTGGTTCAGGCAGCTCCCGCAGGTACAGCTTCAGCAAGGATGCCACCGTGTGGATGTCTGTGTTACTGCAAGGGAGCAAAGGAAAATGATGCTCTCCTGAATGTTGAGTTCAATGATTGCAGCACCCTCACAACACTCCCTTCTGTCTACCTGTCGAACAGAGGCTTGTCACCGCAGTCAAAGGCCTCTTGCAGATCTTTGACCAGGTTGGCCTGACCTGGCATCCTGAAGAGACCCTCCTCATCTAGACCCCGCTCCCTGATGAAGTCCACACACTGCTCCACCAGCAGAGGGGCCAGTCGGGGGCCAAACTTCTTCTCATACTGCACCGTGTCCTCTAGACGCTGGCCAAATATCCCTGGGGACAGATGGAGGGAACATGCATATTATGGATTAAACGTTAAGCTGTTTTTGCAGTGGTCTGTATTTAAAAATTTACATTTACTCTCCTCAACTATCCCAGGTTATAATTTCTTTTTAATCAACATCACCCTGAGAAATTGTCCTGTCCTTTGCAGGAACATACCTTGAGCAGAATTTTACTTTTACTGAGCAACAGCGCCCTCTGCAGCCACATTAATTGTGTCAGTCAACAGAAACAACACAACCATGGATATTCCTTGCAAACCCTGGATTCCTGAAACCTGAAGAGCTGAAGCTGTAACAAATTCACCAATAATATTAAAAAATATTTTTTAAAGTTTGCTCATCGAGCATTGGTGATAAAAGTTGTTTTTTAAGGATGTCTAAGTCTTTTTAACTGATCTACAGTTGATTTCAACATTTCAGTTGATGGCACTTCTAAAACGCGACAGACACAAAAAAACTAAGAAAACAAATATCTCAGAGTGAAAAAGTGATGTCATACACGAAGAAGACACCGTCGAAGATGTCAAGAGAGTTTGTGGTGGTAAGAGCTGACCACGGTGTCTGGGTACAGTAAACATGATCACGTGATCTTAACAGCAGTGCTAATACGTTGCTTCCCACCTCTGTCTGCTGCACCCGGCAGCTCCACCTCTCGCCTGATTAATGTGGAAGGTTAACTGAATTTTACCAGTAGGTCAGGTCTGAAAACGGCTTCAGTCAGTTCCACATTTATCACAAAGTTAAAAGGAGCAAGAACAGACATTCAGGGTGAGGAGTGGGGATGAGGGTGAAAACATTCTCTATATTCCAAGTTAGTTAACCTTGAAACTAAATTTGAAGCTGCTGTTTTAAGGGAACAAAGTTGCATAAAGTTGCTTTAAATTGGTTGAGGAGAGATTCAACGAATGAAAAGTGTAAAATTGTTGATCTTCTATGAGTAAAATCTATTAAGGATGGAAAATGGAAATCGTTAGCCAAAATAAACAATATGCAAGAAATAAGGATTTTTCACATGGTTAAACCTACTAAAACCTACTAAATTGACTAATTCCTTACGGTTTGTTACCTGTTGACTGACTGCAACAGTCGCAGCTGGTCGACAGCTCGCAGTAATCGTAGTAGTTCACTGAGCAGGGGCTGCACAGCAGCAAAGAGCGCTTCTCATACACCCCAAACCCACATTTCACCAAGTTCATCCATTCCAGTTCAGGCATTTGACTGCGCCGGTAGATTAACCTCGCATTTATAAAGTCCTGTGTCTCAGAAGCAAGCTACAGTCGAGGAGTAGTACGGAGGAGCAGCAGCAGCAGCAGCAGCTGATGGAGCAGAGAAATGTGACCAGCAGACGGGGGTCAGTGTGCTGTGACCACAGTCCTGCCGTTAACGACAGGTCTATGAGTTGGCGACAGATCTATTCTGGACCGAGAACTGAGAGACAAGACGCCCCCCACTATGAGAATATGAGAGGGCGGAGAGAACTGTGACTGAGCCAACAAGGTTTCATAGATTACCACTACACTTTATAGATGAATGTGATGTTTATATTCCCATGTGACAGAATTTAGAAAATGTATACAATCATATATCAGGGGAGTGGGTAGGATTAGGGGTCCTAAGCCTTGTCCCAATCATAGACTGTATATAAAGATGGATGACATGACAGCTCCCCAAAAGTGAAGCCAATGTGTCTTGACTGCCCCCTGGTTGATGGCTTAACCTGCCTCCTCCATGTTAGTGTTTTTGTCTCCACCAATTCCCGAGGGAAACATACATCAGTTTTGCTACTAAATGCTCCAGTATGTTCCCCTGCTAGTCTGTTTCCTGTGCCACAGAGCTGCAGTTAGATGAACAGCTTCAACTCCGTCTATAATAACTTAAAGTGTTGGTTATTGTTGCTTCAACATTGTGAAATCATACTAAGCATTATTTACAGATGTAAAGCTACATTAATACACATGGCCACTAGGGGCCAGTAGTGCTACGGAAGAAGCTAAGCCACATCTTTCTACCAGGTCTTGTGGTAATCCTTTAAAGGGATAGTTCACCAAAATATGAAAGTTCACTCATTATCTCCTCACCACTATGCTGATGGAGGATGGGTGAAGTGTTTGTGTACACAAAACTCTGGAGTTTCAGGGGTAAACAGCATTGCAGTCAAATCCAATACAATTGAAGTAATTGGGGATCGATTCTTCAACCTTGGGAGAGAGCTTTTGTGCAGTTTGTGCTGTGTTTCTGTTGAGTGCATGCGAATGTGAACTCAAGTCCAGAGGTGGATATCAGAGGACGTTTAGGCTTGAAAACATGGGGTAAATTGTAAAGTTTCGAGTCAAATTTGAATGTTGAACTTGGATGACACCACAGGAGCAGTATGGAGGTTTTTTATGATTTTTCTGTTGTTTCATGTTGTAAGAATCGATTTGGTAGCATTGCTGTTTACCCCTGAAATTCCCAAAGTGTTTTGTGGACACTTCATCCACTCCTCCATCAGCATAGTTGTGGGTAGATAATGAATGAATTTTCTATCCCTTTTAAGTAATTTTTGCTTAATCCTGGTAACAAACAAACACCAAAAGTTGAAGATAAGTCTCAAATATGAGAATTTGATGCCTTTCATGTAATTTTTAGACATAGTTAGCAATTTGACAGCATCACTTTAGTGTGTCATCATTTTGATCAATAAATGCAGTAAAATTCTAAATTCCTGTAAGCCAACCGTCATTTGTATGTAGCTGTCAGCGGGGGTAAAACCTAGAAGCTTAAAATGTAATTTTAAAATGAGACCAGTGACATCATACACTATATCATTGGTGTGTTATTCTACATATATCACCCTATTAATACACAGCTCCTTTGTAACCCAACACCGTGCTCTACAGCTGCTCCTTATGGCCGAGCTGACATCCAGACAGGCCTGCTTATATTTCTGGCCTCCTGTTTAGTAACACTGGTTAGACGTCCAGGCTGCAGCAGACAGGCTGAGAATTAACCACAGGCTCACCGCTGCACAGAGAAGAGACATGGCAACACACTCCACAGGCTGAACTGCATTCAGCGCATATACATATACTTTAATGAAGCCTCAACAGGTGCCACCCCAAGCAGAAACTTAAGAGACAGTCCTCTATTTTTGAATTCAAACTCACACTACACTGGAGGAGACTGACAGCGAAATCTAATCACATTTCTCCAGTCAGGTACAGCAGTGCAATAGTGACATCAGGGTGAGAATTAACTGCTGGCATACGAAATGAGACACAGTGGAGGGGTAGGTGATCTGTGACTCATACAGCATTACATGGACACACCAGGGTCTTTTTCTGTTTCAGCAGCAATATCTTGTTCCACGTACGAATGTAAATATGTCACAGCTAAGCCTTTGAAACAGCATCAGTCCAAGTGACAGAGTTGTTTTAACTAAAGATGAGAGCAAGAGAGTAATTTTTCATCAGAACTGCTGGTGGTTGTTTTCAACCAATGTTGACTTCCCTTTAATTTCAATTGGTGCACATTCTTATGTGGGATCATAGACTGTATATAAAGGACGACATGGCATCTCCCCAGAAGTGAAGCCAAAACGTCCCTCTAGTCGCTGGCTGCAGAGTAGGTCATAAACTCCTCCTCCTCCACATTAGGACCATGATATACTTGCTGTTAACTACGCACACGTGTGTGTTAGTTCAGTGCGTAGGTTGTGCGCATCCTCAAAAAATGAATGCAAGATAACAGGTTGGGGCTGTAGTACGTCTTTGACAGGGTCAGTGGGCACATCGTCAGGGTGATGTCATCAGTGACAGAAATACTGTGTGACCAGGTCTGGAATTACCAACATTTGTATAAAGTGTCATTGCCCCTGCACAATGCACAGTAGTCACACTTTCTGTCTTGATCTTAACATTGGCCACATGATGATTGCCTCAAGTGTCGTCATCCTTGTTTGTTTTGATCGCATATGCAACACATCAGATCTTATGTTATGAGAGGTGTCAACATTTTTTGGTTGATTATCAAACAGATTTGACTTTACCTCCTCCAAACGGCGCCCAGATGACTCGTCGTATGGCCTTGACCCAGTCATCCATGTCTGTCTGGGAGTTTGCCATGAGCAAGAAGGATTCATGACTGATTGGTGCCCGGTCCTTCTCTCCTATTCCACCTACAGAGTCAAAGAGAGGGGAGAAGCAGACCAAAGTAGAGGTTAGTAGAGAGCAGGGTGAAAATAGCATTTACTAACATTATCTTATAATTGGCTGTTGATGAGCTGCTATAAAATGTACTTTTTCCTTGAAATATTTCCCAGTTCCTAATTTTTACCTACCAGTTTATAAGCATAGATCTATGTTTGGTACCCACAGTAAACTGATTATATTTGTTTGAGGGACCACATTAGTTTAGATTGGATTCAAATTGTAAAAGAATATTACTAACTATCCCTTCAGTTCATGAAAGAGGGACTTTGCTTTCCAATTTGGGCTGCATGAAAAAAACCTCAGAGAAGTAAGAGGCTTGCATGGGTGATTTTGTGCAAGAAAAAAGGACATGGTCTAAGAAAGGACAGCTGCGTGTGTGTGTTAATGTTGATATTATGTGTAACAGAAAATATTTAGATTCACTAAATCGTACTTATTTGCTTGCAATCTGGTCTTTGTTGACAAAATATTTTGTTTGCAGATCATGGCCTTCATTTGAACCCCTTTACTATTTAAATATCATTGAAATCAGTGCAAAACTCATTTTATGATTTTTATTTACTGCCAACTTTTTTATTCTTATTTCTATCATTTCTATTAAGCACTGGTTCTGTATTACTCCGTATACTCTTCATACTTTTATTTTGACTCATATTTTTAGACTTAATGCTTGTTAATTGTTTAATTCAGTGTATTCTATTCTATTATATATTGTTTATATTGCAATCTAAGAGCAGGCTGGCACAAGAATTATCTTAGGCCGAATAATAATAATGCAACATAATTTGATCATTTCGAATCCAGAAAAGTATTTTGTCTGGGATTGACTGTCACAACTAATGTGCTATCTGGGTTTATCACCACTAGGTGGCACATTTGCTGCACTTTGAGTGTTGTAGGGTTTTTGCTCTAACCCTCCCGTCCTGTAATTATGGCACCAGTCACTTCTGGTCACATGTTTATGCAATGTATATAGTTGGCATTAGGAATAGAGCAGAGGATTGTTTTGACACAATTCCAACATTTTAATTTTTATAACATTTCAGAGACGCTAAATGTCTAAATACGTAAACATGTATTGAACTACAGCAGAGAGGTGATCAGCTGCTACATATAGAAACCACAGTGACACAATACACAGTAATTCCACCACCATTGTGTGTATATGCTGCTTTCTCCCTGCTATACATATAAATTAATTGGGAGAGAAAGTTGTGTATTTTTCTGTTTGGCCGAGCCGTTAGTTTAGAAAGATGCTGTTGCCACAGTCACAGTAGTTGTGGTCGCAGTCATTTAGCCATGAGGAGGGAATCCAAATACAAACAGTGGTGCCATAAAGCTAAGTGCCATTGTCACCCAGCTCTGCAAACTCACACTGTCCTGATGAACAACACACCCCAGCCTGTCTTCACATGTGCTCAGTGTGTGTGTGTGTGTGTGTGTGTGTGTGTGATTGTGTCTGTGTGAATATGTACAATAGAATTTAAATGAGTCCTTTCATTTGTCCTCGGGAAAAGAGTCGCTAATCGGGTGAATAAAGATACAGAGAAACAGAATCAGACGTTACGGAGCCTGCAGGCACGTCCAATACTTAAGTCGTCATTGAATCATGACCTGATAAGACACACACACGCAGAGCCACTTAAAATCAATCCCAATGTAGCTGAAAGCCACGAAAACCATTGGAACATCCAAGGAGGAGCATCCCAAAAGGTCCCTTTTTCAAAGCCAATGAAGATAACACTCGCTACAGGCTTTAGACAGTCACTAAACTGAGTAGTTCTCTCAAAGTCCTGGTTATGAATTAGATTTCCGCTCTTCCACACGCCAATCAGACCGAGGATGACATTTGAGTCTGACTGTTCACAGTGAGGGTACAAAAAGCTGCTGCTGTGTTTTCACCGTCTGACCACGAAAGATATATTCTTAACAATCATGGCTGCGGTTCTCAAATGTCAGACGGCTCATAGAAACTGTTAAATGGTAGATAAGTGGACAGGAGGGAGACGGGCAGCTTTGACAGTGCAAAGGAAAAGCCATTATCTGGCTGATGCCACTGTTTGATCTTATAAAATTGTCAATATGGGGTTGGATACTCAGCAGGAGAGCGGAAGTACCTTTGAAGCATCAATAGTCTCACAGGCCCGTCTGGGTAATGTTTTTCTCTGTGAGGTGGTGATTGTGTGTCAGTCATTGCTGTTAACCTTGTTACTTTAACAAAGATGCACATTGTTAGTTAGCTTTCCAACAATCATGAGGTCTTGCTATTGTGTGAGTGTTAAAGAAAAACATAATTGCATCTATTAAGCATTGAAACAGTAATCACATTATCTTACTTTTTAAGCCATTGAAGAGCAAATTTGTTAAATTATAGATAGATAATCATGGACTGTACATAAAGATGGACGTCAAGTCTCCTTTTTCTCCCCCTATCCAGAAATGAAGCCAAAATATCCCAGATAGAGACACTGCCATGTTGCAGTGCAGTAGCAATCAGGGGAGAGAGCTGCAGTAACGAGGTCCCACCGACACATTCACTCGGCCAATCGTGAGTATAGCATCAAATAACTAATAACAATCAATCTTACCAGGACAAATAGCATCAGAACAAACATCAGTGTGATAAGATTGCCCTAAACTGACAGAAACCATCTTTGATATATAATATTTGTCGTGTATTTTGACTTTTTATTTTCATCCTCATCCCATCCACTAACATGGAGGAGGCAGGATTTATGACCTGCCAGCCACCAGGTGATGATCAAGACGCTAGGAGACTTTTGTTCTTCAGCTTACAAAGTTGGCTAGTAGCCGCCTAAGTGCTTGCATTGTTGGTCGCGCCTCCTCCATGTTAGTGGATGGAACATGGACCAAACTAAAAAGTCAAAATGCACAACAAAAGAGGTGAAAAGTCATGATTGATGGCTGAGATTGACTCAGGACTCAAACGTGTGTTGGCAGGACCTTGATTCCGTGACTCCCTCCCCTGGTGGATACTGTGCTGTGCAGACTCAGGCTCTAAATGTGCAAGATGGCACGATTAATATCTGGGATATTCTGGTTTAATTTCTATATAGTAGGAGAGACAAGTCGTCCATCTTTACAAAAACAGAATATGCCTCCAGTCCCTGATGAAGTTGGATCAAGGAGACGGTTAGCTTAAGCAAGCATAAAGCTTGGGGAAACAGTTAGCCTGTAATTTATTAAGTTTTGGGGATTTATACAGCCTCCTCTGTATCAGCTTATTGTTTGCATGTATGAGAGAATGACAGTTGGAGAGTGTTTTACACAAACACTACTGAGGGCCAGCGCAGGTAGAACTGCATCTAAGAGCAGTGGTTCTGCCTGAACCTGAAAATGCATGAGTACATGATGATACATGTTCAATCTCATAGCTTAGCCAGCTTTCCTGTCGTATTAAAAAAATCAATTTCACGACTGTGTTTCAAAAATTCCGCTCTGCATGCTCAATATCCCGCTAAATGTCAAATACACATCATGTCATCTGATGACCGGTGTAGTAGAGCATTGTTTAGTTTAGCAGGAAAGTGATGGTGGTGTGGTTATTGTATAAACAAGAGGAAGAGGCAGAGAGACTGAAATCATAAGAGCTGAGATAAACATTGATAAATACGTGAATATTTATCAGGTACTCATGAACAATCTGCCAGTGAGAACAGGGATAATCAACTACAACCACACACACAAATTTAACATCTAACCTCAAACCTTTCATTGAGTAATGCTGGTCTTAAAAGGTTCCCACTGCAATATTTCTACTGTGAGTATGACACAGTACAGTACACCGAACGGCAGTTACAATATATTATACGAGTGTGTTTGACCTGTAAGTTGTGGAAGTAACTGCTGAGCAATGTAAATAATGGCACTTTGAAAAGATTTGGCTGGATGACCTTAATCTACACATCATGATATACAAAGATCAGAAGAAAAGGGAGAAGGAGAGATAGAAAAGAATGAATAAAGCAGAATATAGTTTTTACATGGCGACACTTAAAAACTTTCCACATTAAGTCCCGCTGCTGTTTTCCTGATCCATGAAAAATTTTGAAATACATGATCTTTCAGGAATAGATTAAATTTAAATGTGTAACAATCTCAACAAATGATGCATCTTGTGTATAAGCTCCAGCAGACAGGGTGAGAACGGGTCGGTACCTCCACACTGTGCAAAAAGAAAAGCCATAAAGAAGAGATAATTCTATGCATACTGTAAATCCCATCAGTCTCACAGCTACTCGGGCGCTCCACTCCAGTCTCCACCAAACTTGTAAAAAATCTCCAGCATCTGTTTCCCGTTACCTTGGAGATGTTGTTTCTTCAGTCTGTCCGGCTTGCAGCAGACCGGCCCCATGTCTGAGTGAGCAGCGCAGGCTGAGGCTGGGACTGGCTCTGGCCTAAAGCTGCAGCATAAAGAGGCGGCCTCTTCACCAGCAGGCAGTCCGTTTGGAAGCAGATCAGTACGCAGGTACCACTGACAGCCAGAACCTGCCAGTGAGGCATGCTCGGTGCCAGCAGAAACAAAACCCGTCAAACGAGTCCCACTTCTTGCTGCTCACTCGCTCATTCTGCCCATTCATTCACCATTCTCTTCCTGTCTCTCTCATTCAGCAGTGTGGGCAGCAGGTTCGTTCCCTTAGCCCCCCTGGAGGGAAGCAAATCCCTGAGGAGGAGTGTAACAAGGCTCTCTCTCTCTTTGTCTGTCTCTCTCTCTTTGAGTATGTGTGTGTGCAGTAACTGGGAGATGGGCTGTCCTCCAGTCTTTGCCAAACAAACTTGTACACACACACACGCAGGGAAAGCAGACAATGACCATCAATCTCTGTGAGATACGGGGCCGTACAGACTTTGGATTCTTCTTCCTTCACTCAGACGGGATTTAGCCTCATTGTGCAATAATCTGTGACTTTTATATCAACAATATCTGATCTCTATCCAATCCCTACAGTGTAACCCAAACAGTTATTTAACACATAACCAGTTCATGAAAAAAAAGTAATCAAATAACAAAATGAAAATTGGTAACAAGACGTCATAGACGGAACTCCCCGATCTCCACGGCCTCACCTAAATGATTTAAATGAAAGACATAACTTTTTTACATATCAACCAATCGGAAGCAGACTCTCTTCTCTCTTTATATTTTCTATGAATGGCTCCAACAAGCAGTGATGTTCATTTAAGAAACACTGTTGGCAAAAGCAGCAATAAAGAAATATGTGCCTCCCATAAAAAGTGAATCAATAGAAGGTTCAAGAAAAGCAGTGACAGTCGTATGTTATTTGGCTGATCAATGGACGATAAAAGCAGAAACAACCCCAGGTGTGCTTGGTTACCTATGGGAGCTTTTAGAATTATTATTTTTTTCATTGAAAATGATCTTAAGTCTAACATCCTTCAAGAGGAACAGGTTTCCCCTTTGCACAACAAAAAACACTGACCAGAAAGTAGAAAAGCTTGTGTTTTGGAATATGATCAGGACATGACAGACATTTCCTGCTGTATTCTCAAATGGACTCATGCAGACATTTTTCGGACATATGGGCTGTCAAGGAAAAGTTTTAGGAAAATGGCTGGAAGTCTATTTTGCGTACCTTGTAATTTTGTTTGTTTGGCAAAACAAAAATCAGTTAAGATGAACACAATGGCCTGATGCACAGATGTGATAAAGTTAGAGGTCAAAGGTGATATGGTATTTTTGTGTTTCAAAACATGGCCCAGAACTCTCATATAGATTTGTTGGTATATAGTGGGGAAAAACAGCATTTCTGCAACATGCACAGATGGGATACAACTGTGTGGGCCAGCCCTTAATAATGAATTAGCAGAAGCTGTCACGTTTGCACAGACACAAGTGTGTTTTGTGTGTGTACTGTTTTCCAGATGGCTTAACTGCTTCACACTACCACAACAGAGGGCTTATAGCCTTAAGTCAGCCATTAAATACAAAGAATATTTAAAAATATCCAATTATTTGCCCATTTTCTTCGTGCCTACAGGCCTTGAGACAAGCTCGATTCACAGGCACATGACTGTGGAATCAGCTTTGTTTGGGTGCCCCGCTCGCACCGACTGCAGCACACACCGATAAGGAAAACATGGTGGGAGTCCAACTTTTAATTGCTTGCACGCTGAGCTGCCGCTGTTATTTCGCTCTGAGGATAAGAGGAAATTACACGTGGTTGCTGGTTGAGTTCTGTGATCCACAGAGCAAGACTCAAGACAGATTCTGCAGGATAACTGTGTGCCAGGAGATTTTAATAGCGGCTATGACCTTGACATTGTCTGCCTGTGAGACGTGCTGAATAATGATGATGATGATAATGATGGTGATAATAATGGTGATAATGATGGCAATAATATATTTCAAATTCAGCTTATGAGTGTTCCCAGTCTGCTTTAAAAGTTTATCTACAATAGTCCATAATAGTTTGTCATAATAGTCTGTCATGGACATTTAACACACACAATACGCTGTGTGTGTGTGTGTGTGTGTTTGTGTGTGTGTTTCAGGGGTTTGGCATTTTGTGGCTCCTATCTGTCTTGTATCTACCTTTTGTACTCTATATCTCCACAATAAACATGACCAGTGGACTTACCCTCAATTCAGGCATGTAGACACAATCTCTCTCTCTCACACAGACAGGCAGGCACACACAGACACACACACAGACACGCACACACACACACAGTCTCAAAAAGCAAAGTCCATCAGTCAATGACATGACCTATAAGAGCAGCCAGGGTCCCTGGGCTCCTCTGAAGGACGAGGCTACTGTTACAGTGGACAAAGGTTTGCTGAAAGCGAGTGAAAGCCAGCAGCTGATTTATCAGCACAGAGAGGGAAACCCCCACCTTCACTTCTGAGCTGCCTTGACCTCAAATTAAAGGTGCAAATGTCCTCAGGTTTTTTGCTGAAACTTTAGGCCTTTACAGTACACGACACATGGAATGGCACATTATTAAAATCACTCCAGCAGAGCAATCAGTTTCTCAGACCTTCTGAGCTTAAACTAATATTATGGTCAAAATACACAACTGCCAAAAGAACACAAGAGCTAGTTCTTTGACTAGGTGTCAGTAAGAAACATGAGATGGAATTTGGGCTGCAAATGATTCTTTTTATTGTCGAGATTATTTTCTCATGGATGTGAACTTAAAATGGCCCAAATATCCCAAAACAAATCTGGACCTTTTTTTGCAAACATGTGGTGCTCTAGACAAGGTGTAATCCGGATGTGAACCTAAAGTGGCCCATGTGGAAAATGGTGAGTATGGCCCAAGTAGCACAAAACAAATTCAGGTCACCTTTGGGTGACATACAGTTTTGCTATAGTTTACTTATGGCCCAGATCTGTCAAACAGGAGTGGAGTGCCCAAATACCATCATTCTTGTGTGTGTGTGACAGTAATGGGCAAAATCTAAGGCAAAAAATGTTGCTATGTGAGTTTGGTCTGTAAAACATCAGGGAACAGTGTAAAATGTCCCAGTGTCCAAGGTGACACAGGTCACAGAGTACAACTATTCACACACTGCTGGCACAGCCATCAGGGGCAAAGGAAACTTCAGCACATGAATTACAGGAGCCTGGGATCGAACCATCGACCTCTAAATCCACTCTTATGAAAATATTTCCGTTGATCGACTAATTGCTGCAGCTAAGAGCAATCCTGACAAAGATAAGAGAGAGATTGCTTGATTCTTGAATTTGTTTACAGGGAAGAATTTTGGAGTTAAAGCCTCAGATACTTGTGTGCTATCATCAGTGAAGCCTGAGGTGTCCCACAGTGACACTGATGAGCTAAAAGTTGTATGAAACAGTGAAAGGCATTATGTGTTCATTGAGCTAATATCTGATCAGAGTTTTGCCAGATCTCAGTTGCCACATGGGGAAACCATGAGGTCTCTGCTTGAAGCTTTATTGCTCAGTGAAATCTGCAGCTGGAACAACTGGACGCAATAATGTTTACAAATGGGGAAGTAGCCCTGTCCTCTATGAAGCACTACTTCTATCACACTATGGAGTCTTAGGAAAATCTCAGAGCCTCTTCATTTCATACAACAGCGGAGAATAAAGCCTCTGTAAGCCGATTATAAGGTGCAGAGAGAGCAACTCGTGTTTCTCCCCCAGGAACCAACACATCTGATGTGCTGTAAACACAGGGGCTGAAAAAATATTGGGATCACACTGAAATACACTTCATCCATACCACCACATTTTCATTTGAAAATGCATCAACCATGCTACGGATACAATTGACGTCCACTCAACTCCAAAGTTTTAGAGCCGCTAAAATGGAGAAGTTTGGAAACGATGCCGTAGACACTCGCAACTGCTTCCTGTTTGGTTCACAGCTTAGCCTTCGTTGATTTGTCAGACTCCTATCACATGACCTCCTTCCAGAAGAAAACAACCGGCATGAGCCTCAGCTACCAGTATAAAACGCAACACTGCTTATCAATAACAAACATTTCAGGCGTGTTAGTATGGACGTGGTTTCAAATTGATATGCAGACAAAACGCTTGCGTGAACAGAGATTGTTTTGTTGTCGCATGGGGGCAGCCTCACACTCCTGCTGGATTATCCACACTGTCAAAAGAAACAATTTACTAATTTATGTGGTGCAACATTTAAACCAGAGTCATCAGGTCACATCTCATTAGCAACACTGTGATTAACTGTGTGTATTTCTTTATCCACCTGACCACTGCATTTTCTCAGCCTTTCCCTCCCTGCCCAGATTGGCTCCTGCAGGGCACAAGGAGCTATAAGTCAAATGTTCATTGGAGGGTTCGCACCCCTCTGCAATGTTGACAGGCCATAAAGAAAACACACAAGCCTGGCAGCCACTCTAAACACAAAGCGAGACCTTCAAGCAAACACTGACAGAATGACAGAGTGACAACCAGAGGGTTCTACAGCAGGACACAGTATGGTTCTTACAATATATCTTTTTCACTATATTCCACACAGCAACAAATCCACCCTTCAAAACACAAAGCAACGTAGTATTGATTGAGTAAAACCATGACAGCCCACCTAAAGTCAATCTAAGCAACATGCTCCAGTTTCTGTGAGGCTGCGACAAGTGGAGCCACGGCGGCTCGCCAACAAGTCCTGCAGGGACGGACATGATCGAGAAGCCATTTTCTTTTTCAATTTATTTCTGCTTGCTGCCAGAGTTTGACTTTCACACTTCAGGGGCTGAAAAGGAAATACCAGCTGCCAGACGTGTCAGCAGCTCTGAGGTCATGAGATGTGAGATTGACCAGCGCAGCAGCTAATCCTAGGCGAACAGTGCTTCCTGCTGGCTGAATGCTGAATAGCAATCAGAGGGTGCTTCACAAGTAAAGGGAGGAGCAATTTTACAGACTGCAATTATGGCTAGGTCTACCTATCCAGAAAAAAACAAATGTTACCTTAAAATAAAACCTCATTGGTGGAGGTAACAGAATGATACAACTGATCTGTAAAAATGAATCTGTGACATTTTACAAATCACTGCCAAGGCCTCAATAAATGCACTCAATGGACACATGAGAAATGTTCCTCAGTGCAGAGTAATAAAACAATAAATGAACCAAGAGCGTAAAAGTAACTTACAGAGCTCATTTGCAGCAAATATTACCTCCAGCGCGACTCGAGCAGTGAGCAGGGGGATAGCAAGTAATATGTTTGTCTGTGTGAGACGTGTATTGAAACAGAACTGTGGTGAATGTGGCAGGAAGAGGAGACGGAAGAGGGGGAGGAAGAGGAGGAGGAAGAGGAGGCGCTCTTGGATCTCTCACCTGGTACAATCTCAAAGAGGTGTCTTCCTGGTTCGTCCGGGTTCGCTGTGAGTTCATTCACCTGGCAGCCCTGAAGAGGAATACAGCCCTGAAGCATGCACACACACACACACACACACACACACACACACACACACACACACACACACACTTTAGGTTCAATTCACATTTTAAATTATACAAACACTGAAATGGGATCAATGTTATTTTCTTCTTCTTCCTACAACTTTGGCCAACCTTCATTCGTTCCTTCTTTCCTTTACTTGTTCCTTCTTTCCCTCACCCCCTTGTTATTCATTCACATGCTCCGTCGCTTCCTATTTACAGGTCTGGCCTTATTCCTTACTTTTTTTCCCCTTCTTCCCTTCCTTAATCCTTCCTTCACTTTCTTGTTCTTCACTAGCTTACACGCTCCATCTCTTCTGTTTCACAAACTGTCATTCCTTCCTTCCTCACTTACATGCTCCATCTCTTTCTCCTTACTTTTTCTTTTCCTTCTTCCCTTCCTTGCATAATACTTATTTCCTTCCTTTCATCCTTCCTTCCTTCCTTACACTCATTAACCCCTCTAAAACTGAACAGGCACATACACAGATTATCAGAATACATTATCCAGATCAATACCTATTTAGCCCTGAGAACTGAGGCCAAGTGAGCTGCGAGGAGATGCCAGCGTCTGTAGGTCGGCGCCGTTAATCTGCGCACTGGCATCCTCCATCAAACTGGGAGAGGAGTTCTGCCAAAAACTGCCTCAACTGGAGGGCCGGGCTGTCGCCAGTATTAGTCGCCATGGCAACAAATGGAAGGGGTGGGAGCTGTAGATGGATAAAGCCACAGGGGCAGGGCAGCAACCGGGGGGAGGAGAGCTCCCAAGGGTGCTATGTGCTCGGAATCACACGAGTAGCTGTCAGGCGATGAATGAATAAGAAAAGGCAACACGTAACCTGAGAACACAAATCACACAGGCCAGCTGCAGGAGGACGGAAATGTGGGTTAGTCTGTCCTCTTCAGTGTCGTTAACTCGTAGCACGGTGGCACAGTGACTCTGAAGTACAGCAGTCATTATAAAACTGAGGTTGCATACATGAGCTGTCAACCAGGCAGTAACAGGACCAGATCCTCGTCCTGCACCACAACACCAGCCCAGGTCTCTGAAAACCCACCGGTGCCTAAGCAGGCGGTGTTTGTTACAAACACACGTTACACACTTGTTGTTGAACGGTACCATGTGCATAGAACCTAAACTCAGCCGCGCAATGTTGAATACATACCTCAGAGCTGTGACCACCTCCTTCAACAGCCAATGCTGGACCCTATCGAAGCAGCAGCAGTGAATCACTGACTCACTGCTCATCATAAAAGCAACTAAACTGCAATGCTAATACTATTTAACCCCAAGGCTGTCCCTAGGGTTTTACAGGGAAATCAAAGACTGAAATTTGCCTTTTTCCCTAAATATTACAAATTCTTTTCCCTTTCCCTTATCATCAAAAGCTCTTTTGACATCGCTCTCTTTTACATTTCTGGCTTTTTCATCCTGAAATACATGTTTTATTTATTTTTTGTGTTTGCCAATAGAATCGTCATCAACTTGCCCACTCGCTCGTGGTGAATCCTGAGGGAGCTCTCTTGCTGTGCGCTCACATCCTGAGGACTTTATACTAGTGGATTGGCCGGAGAAAGTCCGCAGAGACTCCAGATGCTCTCACTCGGACATTTGTGTCCACACAAACAGCCTCTCTGGAGGATCTCTGGGGGGTGTCCCATATCTCCATCACCACCCATGTGTTTGTTTTGGTGCAAAAGAAATCTGCCGTCCCGATATCTGAAGTCCACTTTTTATCTTCTCGCATTGAAAGGGAAAATAAAACCTATATGGGTCCTGCGTCGGTTTCAGCTTTCCCTCCACTAATTATCACACCATTTTTTGTCTTGGGAGTGCAGGGGGAGGGGGGTGTTTCACCCCCCCCCTTCTCTCAAACCCCCACCACCACTCCCAGTCTCCAATTTCCAATCGATTAGAAGATGAGAGGGAGAAAAAAGGCCAGAATGACACTTTCTCACACATCCGGCTCTCAGAGGGGGAGGGTGTGTGTGTGTTTGTGTGTGTAAAAAGAAGTGTGTATTTCTCTGAGTGTGTGTGTGCATTCAGCCATGTGTTTTACTTGAATCTACTGGGAGTTGCAAATCAATGTGGGCTGGATGAGTATTGGCAAGGTCTGATTAAAGACAGTCTGTCTAAGCCTTCAGTCATTCGTTCCCCACAGAATGGAGACTGTGAGGAGGAGAAAACCTCATTGTGTGTGTGTGTGCGTCCACAATGACAAAGAGTAAAAGACAGCGATGGCACACGGCTGCTTTCTGCTTTAAACGAACAGCCGAGCCAAAACTGCAGAAATCAATGAAAGTGTCAACATTTCAACCACCGTGATTAAGAGATGATTATAATGCTGTGTGAGCAGATGTGTGTTTTAGAAATGTGAGTCAGCACCCGGGAAAAAAAGATCTCAGCAAAGGATGAGTGGGAGCAATTATTCTAATTTAGACTTATTTCATATTTTTGTGATATTGTTCTACTGGAGGAGGAAACCAGACGTCTCATGCTGCACTCAAATGTCCTATGATTGTGGTGAGTCACCATTAGCAGAGACAAGAATGAATGAAGGCCCTGTTACAGTCTGCAGCTGGAGGATATCAACTGTGGACTCCACCTCTGACTGACATGTCTATGTAGCGATGCTGGTCCAGCTGTTAACATCATCTCGTGCATCTAAGAGTGATTCTTATAACTTGACAGTATTTGTTTCAGTATTCAGTTAATATTTAGTCTGTTACTCTTTCTTAGGGCAGAGGATGCCGCAACTTGTTAAACCCAATGAGGCAAATTGTGATTTGTGAACATGAGCTATACTAATGAAATTTGATTGATTTATTAATTGGTTTGTAAACCAGTGTGCATCTGACACTGGAGTGTTGACAGTTCAGCAGGAAGAAGCCTTTCCTTCTAAATGGAGACTTTAAATGGAGACTTTTAAGGGAGACTTTAAATGGAGACTTTAAAGGGAGACTTTAAATGGAGACTTTTAAGGGAGACTTTAAATGGAGACTTTTAAGGGAGACTTTCGGTCAAACTGCAAGTCCAAAATATCCCAAAACTGTTTTCACACTGCACATGAACCAAACCATGATCAGATTGATCCACACCAAGGCCACCTGGTTTGGGCGGAATACATTGTGGTCTGTTGGTGTGGACTCAACTGAGAGGTCTGACGGTCTGGTCCAAACCAAGTGTGAAAGCACCCTAAGCCAAACATTCAGCTTTATCTGCTTTTTATGAGCTCATCAGAAGATGATCACTCAGGCCAAAGGGTGACTCAGAGTTTCACTGTCAGCATATCCCACTGTGTGTAGAAACGTCAGGGGCATCACCTGTGGTTTGGTTTCTTCCTCATCTTTGTAGAAGTACAGCTGATCCGAGCGCAGCACAAACCATCGCAGCTGCCAGTTCTTCATGATGCTGCGCTGTTTCTTCAGCCAGCCAGCCTTCAGGGCCCCCTCCTGGAGGCTGGGTGAGGCCGGCCGGCATGAGCCCCGGGACACCTCGCCCATCACCATGCTCTTGGACCTGGCTACAAACACACACACATAAGACATTTTAGTTCTGTGTATATACAAGCAGTCAGACAGCAAAGGGTTGGGTAGGTCAGAGGAGGTTGAATTGGTTGTTGCTGGCTCGTGTCTTTTCATTTTCTCTGTAATTGGAGCTTGCGCTCTCCCTCATTCTGTATGCTGCACACACACACACACACACACACGCTCTGCCAGGCGCCTCAGCCATGAACACACATACACACGCAGCCTTCTGCCCCGAGAGGCTACGCCTTTAGATGAAGGGGGAGAGGGACTGCAGAGAGGCTGCAATAATAGCAGAGAGCAGATAAAATAGAGACTGTGAAGGGGAGAAATGAGCACACACACATCCACATGCACATATAGCCTCAGGTGACAGGGATCCCCCCTCAATTTCAGAGGTCTTTGACAGAGACTTATAGTGTGTTGCCAGTAGAACAGCAGAGGCTTTTGAGCTGAAATAATAGGACCACATGGGATTGTCTGACTGGCTGCCTGAATCATTCTCAACAAAGCTGTGTAGCCTGAACTCAGTCAAGGACACATTTGAAAGGGAAGGGATGGGGACGTGATCAGGTACGTCCCCACAGAGCCCCTCACATCATCCTGCTATCACATCCGCTTTGTAGGAAAATTGATTACAGTGATACGGGCATCGTTTTTGACTCTTTTATAACAGCTGACTTCTACAAACACTAAAGACCATCATTCTTGAGGGTGAATTTTGTTACACGCTGGATGAAGCAAATGAAAAAAAGCCAGAGGGCTAAATTCTGGTCAGGCAAATATGGCAATTCTATTTGATCATCATGTATAATTTATGAAAATCAATTGTGCAGACATCCTCCCTGCTGGTGCACGCACGCACAGACACACACACAGACACACACAGACACACACAGACACACACGATCAATTCTCAGATGGCGCAGAGGGAGTAAGGGGACGGCTAAATGGGAAGGGGGGTAGAAAATCAATCTCTATTCTGTTTTATTGTCTCATCTCTATGTCTCATACATACATATAGTTTTAAGCACATGGCTCATGTCATTTTTATTTCATCTCACAATCTGTCTTGTCAGTCAGCAAAGCCTGTTGATCCTCAGAGATGCACCGAATGAAGAATAAGTGAGTTCTGTGTTTTTGGCCAGTTTCAATGAGTGTGATACTTTTGGTGCATGGTCTTCATGAGTGAAACATTTTCTTTGCTGTGAATTGGGTTTTAATATATGAATATAAATGTTCATGTTTGACAGTGATATTAGGAAAAACATGTAAAAAATGAAATGAAAAATGGAAATAAGAAAAAAAAGATGTACAGTACTTTTTTAAATGCCAATTTATATATATTGACATATTTTGTCAATATGTGACATTTGTGATTTGTCACCTAATGTGAGCTCTGTACTCACTCCAGCTGATTTGAAGACATAACCATGAGAAGGCCACAGCAGCAGCTACAATTAAACACAGATGTTAGCTACTTTACCAATTTGTTGGCAAAATATATTTTGCCATTTTAGCTCCAATGTTTACTGTTTAGTTTGGATTCTGGGAAAAATCTGGTTGTTTCTTACATAACAATATAGTTTTGACCCAGATTTATCCCACATCCGACCCACATACCATGTGGAATGATGGCACGTGGGCGGTCCGCTCCTGTTTGCCAGATACGGCCATTGCAATATCGCATGTCAACCAAATGTGGCTTGAGGTTGTTTGGTGCTATTTCGGCCATATTCATCATTTAACACATGGGCCAGTTTAGGTTCACACACAGTTTACATCTAGAGCACTGCCTGTTTGCCATAAAAATCCCACATTTGTGCTACTGAGGGATGTTTGAGCCACATTTGCTATTTTACAAGTGGGCAACTTTAAGCTCACATCCATTTTTTTCAGGCTCCTATTGACCTTGGCTTTTCTAATTTTCTCATCCATCTTGTGCTAGTTCCAGTCTTTTCCAGCTTTGTATTTTCACTCCCCTGTCTCCCTCCATTTCTCTTACTTTGACTCGCTCTAATTCTTCCCTCTCTCTTTACGTTAAGCACTTTCGGTCCTATTGAATCAAAGCCCTGGTATTACTGAGAGCAAACATGTGCACGCACACGCACACACACAAAGATAAACGCTGTCATTACTGGCACCTAATTAAATCAGTATTTGTCTAGTAAATTTGTTTTTGGATAAGAGGCACAGGCTAATTATTTTCTATTGTTTTTGAGAACTAGGTTCATTTGAAGTATTCCTTCAAGACAGCTATTGAAAACAGTCTTTGAGGAGAGCATTATGGGGTTGTTGACATGTTTTTGCTAAAGAGGCTATTCTCAGGTTACTGCTCAAACTCAGGGGCTATCTCAGGTCATCTGTCATGGATAGTGACTTTACTAATTATTGGAGTCAGTTTGATCTCTATATATTATAATACTTCAATAACTGAATCCAAAAACAGAAGTTAGTTTTTTGTAGAAGACTGCAAACATCTCTAAAGCAGAACACATTAAAATATGTGATATTTAAACATGTTGTATTGTCCTCAAACACTAATGTCTTTTTTTCTGTGGACTTCTGAAAAGTCATTTTAAATTTAAAATGGCTCAATATCTCCAGGACCCCTTGAGGGTCACCAACACATCTTGGACAATCTGTCCCTCTGCTGTCCTTTCTATTTCTCACCATCATGGGGAAACTGGTCCAGTGGCAGTGATGATTTGGAAATGCAAACCCCATGAAAACAGCAGTGCAAATTGAACCATTAAACCCTGACTGACACAGGGGTTAAGACTCAGGTTGGTCTTTCAGTCACTTTCCCTGTCCTTTTTCCTCACCCCATCATTTCCCTCCATGAGTCTCTGTCCTTGTCTGAGCCAGTGTTTGTATAAAAGAGCACGTTGTTCAACACATCAGCTGCCTGGATCACAGGCAGTGGAACATACAGTGGCTGATGATTCATGCCTGAGTCACAACTGATATTTGAGTGCGTGTGTGTTCCAAGCACAACTACCAACTATATTCTGCGCCAAATTGGACCTTTTGCTCAGAGTGATTCAGACCTTCCTTTGGTTGGGTGGAGCTGCTCTGGGATCACTTCTTCTTCTATCTGCCACAGTGCTGAAAATAAGCTGTTTTACTGTAAATTTGCTCTTTATGTATAATCACTGCAATTCACTGAGACAGAGCGCGTAACTGTGGCTCATTCATTTACAGTAGCTACCAGTTGAGCAAAGGCTGAGTATAATTATAGTGGTCAACATAATGCCTGATGGTGTGTGCAGATGTAAAGTCTGCCCACATGTATTTATCATGATGAACCCCAATGGTAATCAATGTAAAATGAACCATGTGTCATGTTGTTTCAGGGTGGATGAATAACTGAGCTCAATATTCAGGAATAGCATGAGCTCATAGGCTATATGAAATAATATCAAGAACCAGCTTGTTGATAGGGAGGGGGTACTAAGCAGCCTGTAAACACTTCATACAACCTAAACTTCACTTATGATTTTTTTGTAAAACAAAAGCAAAACAGACTTAAGTAACTGAACTAGTTATGAGACTGGAGTCTGTTCGAAGATGTATTTTGAATAAAATGCATCAGAGACTAATTTTGATGAGCAGATAGCTGCTTGACCTGCATCTGTCTACGTCATCAAGCCTCTAGTGCCAACTATTTCACTTTAAAAGCATTAAAAGCATATGGTGGCAAACGTCAACAGAGTAGATGACAGAGTTGAACGTTTCTTCACACAAAACACAAACAGTGAAATGTGTTGTAGGTGTTTTAGGTCCATTTTGACTAATCTCTATTCACAGCTATCTGCATATGAAGGCAGATAAATGACAAAGCCAATAGCCAGTGCATTTGGTCAATGTATTCTGCCTCCGGGCAAACAAATTGAAACACTCTCCTCCACCACTCAGACCTCCAAACCCTTACCTTCATCCTCGCTACATAAAGGGCTCACAATATTTCTTACATTTGCAATGAACGTGCAGAGTGATTCAACATGAATTTCACTGTTGGCAACATAAGGTGTAGATAGATGCTATTGATAGTTTTTTGATTTAATGCATCCCCATTAAATCAGGGGGATAAAATCCCAGAATGAAATATTTCAAAACCTGAGCTGACCCTCTGCACAGCAAGATGTAAGACACTAACTGACTGTCAGTTTACACAAATACAATTTGGTAGGTAATGATGTGTTATGTTCTAACCTGGTCTGACAGATCAAATGAGAAATGCAAGAACTGAAAGAGACAATCCTGTAAAGAATGAGTGCTCTGTCCATATAAAGCTGGAGTCAAGTCTAAGCATGCAAGTTATGTGACAATGTGAACAAATGGTTGTCTGCAGACTCATATCAAAACACAAGTGGTAGAACACATGAAGGGACATTTGATGCCACACACACACACACACACACACACACACACACACACACACACTCTGCCTCCTCAGCCTCTGTGATGTCACTTAATGCAGTTTGGAGTATTATATTTATCACCAGCAGGAAATGGATGTATGGCTCTTCAGAGGAGCCCATCCATTAGCATGGCGAGGCGGGTGTTCCACGATAGGTAGACAACGCTACACATATGGTTAAATCACTTACACACACACAAACATGTGCACACGCACGCACAAGCATGCCAGAGGAATTCAATTTCATTAATTTGGTTGTTGTATAGTGATTTATGGCTGGTGGAAAATGGCAAAGTTACAGGTGCATCAGGGCGTAACTTCCAGTTAGCCTATCACTGTTGATTAATGCGTAACCATGATATGTGTGTGTGTGTGTGTGGCTGGAGGTGTGGCCAATAATGTACAGGCGGTGTGTGAAAGCTGCAGTGGCGTGGAACTGATCTGCAGCAGCGGGTGGGTGTGTGCATAGCTGTGCATTTCTGTGCATGTTATCTCCATGTGCACGTTATCTGAGTGTGTCACTGTGCCAATTTATTTCTTATCCATGCTGCCTGCTCTTGCTCACAGCTTCTAGTAGTGAGGGAGGTCGTTCATACATGCTTCAAACAGGCAGAGTGTCAGGGTGTCGCTTCATTGCAGGACTTTGATCATAAAACCATGGTAACGCAGATCAAAAAGACACAGCATGAGAATGAAGCAGCTGATATGTGGGCAATTAAAGCTGCTACTAGATCTCTGATGCCAGCGAGAGAGAAAAATGCAGCTCTATTGCAGATTATATTGTCGATGGTTGTATATAGGTAGGTTCTGTAGTGCAGCGGTCAGATTGTTCTTTCATGAAGCAGATATAATGAATTGATTTCTAGTGCTACCTGACTGATAGACAGATAAAAGAGGAGCTAACCTTCAAAAATCAAACATTCGTAGTGTTTCCCACTTCAACACATCAACTCTCCCAGGGTCCTTAATGTTCTTGGCCTTATTATCCCCAAATCTATAGCACATGATAGGAACATGGATGAGATGTTCCCCAGCTTTGTATCATCAAATATGTCAATGCCTATGCCTAGCTGTAAGGGGTGTTCCAATATTTATAAAATACTGAACTGGGGAACATACGATTTTGAGTACCTAGGGCATTAGGGACATAGGACCTTGGTAACGAATAGTATAGGGAAAATAAGACATTGTGAAGTGTGAGGCATTAGGGATATGGAAACCTTGGAAATACAGGCTCTTGGCAACATAGGACATAGGAACATGGTACTTTGAGAATATGGGATGGTGGAAACATAAAAATACAGTTGTCTCTATACAGTATAGCTGAACTAGTTATCTTTTCAATCAGCCCTGTAGCATCATTAATGCTGCTTATAATATCAATTCATACTTTGAGGGTATTCTCTGACATTCCACTTTGCCAGTCCCCTAAAGTGTCAGATTGACGCTGGTTAGTGTTGCATCCCTTTTATAAGCTGCACTGACCCTAAATGAGAACATACTACATATTGCACATCTGCCACATCACTATTTATTTCTGGGCTTCATGCAACAATTGTGTTGCCTTCAGCAGGGAGGCGACAATTTGCAGAAGGTATGCACAGAATGTTTCTCACGCAGATGCATCAGTCTCTTTCCTTTCTCGTAGTGTTTTTTCCCATCTTGATTTTAACCTTCTTTTTCACCCAATGAGCTCAAAATGGGACCTTAATTCTGCTAATACTGAAAACATCCGTTTTTTTAAACATTACTTCACGCAGCCTAATCGTGACATTGTAATCAATTGAGCTCTAATTTACAAATGTACACAGCGAATCAGTCCTACTCATAAAGCCAGTCGAATCTGTTCTGCCATCTTAATATATGCAAATGCAGATTTAATCCACTTTGCTTCCAATTTCATGCCGCTCCAGCAGAGGATTTGCACATCACTCTCCCATTGTTGGGAACTATTCATTTCATTTTAATCAGCTCCAGCTATATAATTGTCAGCATGGAGATTAGTGCTAAGGAAGGAACACACACTTGCTCACATGCACGTATTAATACGTACACATACACACACACACAGCAGCTGACGGCAGTCTGTTAGTGCAGAGTGTTGCAGTGATGAAACTAGAGATGCTGCTCGCTCCTCTTAATAGAATTCACACTGGCAGCATCGACCAGCTGTAGTAGAACGCTAACGTACACAAGAGAGGTTTCCTTGCGTGGGCAGAACAGCCGCTTCATTCAGAAATACACTTACATAGACTTTACTGCAGTAGGAAAATGGATTGCAGATAGGAGTGAAGAGGGAAATATGTGTTTCTGTAGACAGTCTTCTGTAAAAATCTGAATTACAGCAGAGAAGGCACTTAAAATAAATGACCTGTAAGAGATGCTAGAGTCATAGCATCACTTACACATCCTGTGATCTGATACAATCCCATCACAGCTCCTGTCATCAGGGATGAGGAGGCAGCTCATGCAGTTGGCAGGTACAGTAGGTGTGAAGCAAACAAGCATGTCCTACCTCTCCTGGTCTGTCTGATCTTTGGGCTCAGCATTGCTGTCATCGCTCGTCCGCACACTCTCCTGTCGGCATGTTCATGTACATCCACGCACCCCACCCCTCTCTCTGCCTCTCTGCTGTCTGTGCCTCTCTCCTCTTCCTCCTCTCTCTCTCTCTGACCTTCTGCAGTGCAGCCAGCAGCTCGGGGGTTGGGTGAGTAGGGGAGGAGAATGGAAAGAGAAGGGGGGTGGTGAAGGAGAAGCAGGAGGAGGAACTACCCCCACCTTTTTCCCTGTATGCACACACGCCCAGTGGCCTCCACCCCTCCCTGTTACATTATTCATAGTGGTACATCCGCCTGGGGTTGATGGAGCAAGAGGTTTCTGGGGGAAGGTCTCCCACCAGCAGAGTGCAGGTCTGACCAGGGAACAGATGCTTGATTTGAAGTGGTCTTACCTTTTTGCAACAGCTGCTTTTTTTTTTAACTGTAAAGATTTGCATGAGTGATGGGGAGAGAAAGAGAAGAGGAGGGGGTATTCATCTGGCGTGTCTCCTCCTTCAGTACCTAATTAAGCTGCAGAGGTCCTCAGCTTGACTCAGCCTCCTTCCCTTAATCACCCCCCCCCTCTTCTCTCTCTCATTTTCTTTCTACCTCTTTCTACCGCTGTCTATCTATAACTAGCTTAACCTCTATCTTTACCTCTATATCTATCTTTACTCTATCTCTGTGTCTACTCTCTACTTCCTTCTATCTCTATTTATTGTTGCCTCAATCTCTACCTCTCTGTCTTTATCTATCTATCTCTCTCTCTATATATATATATATACATATGTATATATACATAGTAAATACACACCTATGTGTTTTTCAATCTATCTGTGTCTCTATCTCTATCTTTACCTCTATCTCTGTCTTCTGTCTCTATCTTAACTCTGTCTCACTCTCTATCTTTAACACTTTCTCTTATTGCCCATGTATGATCTCCTTTTCTTCCCAACTATAACTGCCTCATTTAATCTTAATCTCTCTCCTCAACTATTTTTATCTTCATCACTTTTAGCTTTCTAAGAATGCTGCCTTCGATTCAGACTCAGACGTGGGAAATTCCCAACTCGTACAGTAGGTCGTAATTACATCCTCCAGGCATTCCAGTGGCACCACTCACAGAAACATGGGAGAAAAAAATAAATACAATTCCGCCGCTAACAAACAATGTCCTGTCGCCTGGAGCTGCAGCAGACTGTAACTGACAAGAGAGGGTTTAGGAGTGTGGCACTGATAGAGAGCTATATCTGACAGGAAAAATGTCACCAGACTATTTCGGCACTTTATTTGGTATTTACCTTTGTGTTTTGACACAAATTCACAGTAATGATATTTGAGTTTACATTCCATGGTTACGACAAGTCATGCATGGTGTTCAGGGGTTAAAGACGTGAGAGCAATGCTGCTAGACAGCAACATAGACTCTAATATTAACATTACTGTCAGCATCTAGAAGCTATGGAGGTTTACATTATTGCCCACATAGCAAAATAATTTTGGCCCACATTTGTTCACTGCTACACTCATCCAGCCCACATACCACCTGGAATGGTGGCACTTGGACGGTCAGCTCCTGTTTGCCAGATCCATAATTTCAGACAAAGGTTGATACAATTAAACTCAAGACCATCCTGACTGTTAGCTCACTCAGTATCAAGCATATTTACTGTGTCATTTTGGAGCAATTCAGCCTCCAAACATTTGTCAGAATAAAAGGGATTTTACAGTAGAGTAAATAAAGAGCATAATGCCTTTTTCAATTCTAAATAATGAACTTTGAGGCTGAATTTCTCCATCATGATACAGTAAATATGCTTGATACTGAGTGAGTGAACAGTCAGGATGGTCCTGAGATCAAGTGTACAAACCTTTGTTTGGACAAACAGATATACTTCTCATGTGTTATGTTAACAACATTGGTTGCAGCACCTCAGTATCACAAGCATTAGCATGGCTGTACCATTAGCCAGCATGATAGCATGTTAAGCTAGCACTCACATAAATTCATATAAAGCATTTAATCTTGCAAAAGTGTGCTTATACACAGAGTCACAACATACTGGAAGTGACCTTTAAGACACACAAGCTTTCACAAGCATTTATTCAGTGCTCTCTGGGCACATGTGTGTGGGGTGTTAAATCCACCATCTCTCACCTTAATGCAGGTTCCTGGTCCCACTGGCAAACAGGAAGAGGGGGATTCCAACTCCATTTGTAGAGGGGGGATCTGGAGTGTACCACATGAAACCAATCCAGAGGGGTGTTTTAACTGCTATCACAAAAATGCTCTTTTAAGTGCCCATATAATATAATATAGTGAGATTTCTGTGAAAGCATCAGGTGAAGATTTTGAATCATTCTTCGAACATGGCTCAATACTATATGGGATGAATTTGAATTTGAATTTGTTTTGTGCTATTCTGGCCTTTTACCACATGGGCCATTGAGGTTCACGTCTAGAATTACATGCTGCACAGAGAGCACAGCATGAGTGACAAAAACTTCCCATATATTTTTGTAAAGGTTTGCTATTTTACAAATGGGCGAGTTTAGGCTCACATCCATTTTGTACGGGCCAGGAGTGCAGCATCATTACCTGGGGTGGCACGATTCGTAGCCTCTAGAAGCTACAGAAGTTACCAGACATTATTTAACAAGAAGGTAAGGTAACTGCAGGACAGGCATGGGTAAAGTGACAAATTGATTAGATGAGGCTTTTATTCCAGCAGAAAAAAAAACCTCCCATAGCCTCTGCCATTTCTAAAATGTCTGAAAACATGTCATAACCTTTGAACTCTGACCTTTCAGAAAAGTCTGAGGTAAATACCATTAGAGGGGGCAGAACTCATATGGATTGATTGTTCAAATGGTTGACAGCTCTAAAGAGCGTGCTCTGCTTTCAAGGAGTTTCTTTGCATCATCTCCTCATTTGAAATCTGAATTTCCAACTCTCAGTCTCCCCCTGAAGGCCACACCTAGTCACTGCTGTAGCAGCTGTGCTACAGCAGCCGGGCTTCCCTCCTCCTCCAGTGTGCAGAGGATAATAGCCTTAAGCCCTGCACTGCAATTGAATCAGAGCCGGCCTCACATCAACCACAGCTGCTCTTATTACAGAGCAAAGAGGGAGGGAGATGCGAAGGGGGTGGAGGTGTGTGTGTGTGTGTATATGTGTGTGTGTGCTTGTATGTGTGTGTGTGACACAAAAGCACATTCACACAACCCAACATGAAATGAAAGAGCAAATGCTCAGATAGATCTGAGACACACCACCAAGCCATTCCAAATGAGGCTGACAGAAACAGAGATAGGGGTCACATGAGCTGAAATGAAACAGTGGACGATGAGGGACACAAGAAAACAAGATGAAGCAGAGCGAGGGAGTGACACACACACATGCACACACACACATGCACAAGCATCCCAAGAAGCCAAAATGAGACAGCAATAAAAAAGCCAACGGTGCCAGTGTTTTGTTAAAGCCTGGGGTTGGAAGACAGCGGTGAGGCCACGCCGTGCTGGGTGTGGCCCTGGGTGTTGCTTCACTCTGACTTTATCATCATCTTTTTGTTATGTTATCATACTGCCGGATGTCGAACTATCGAAAAAGAAAAAGCAGGGCAGACTCAGAGGGTGAATGTTTGAAGCCACACAGCAAGACGAGTGGCACAGTTGCAAACCACCGGAGCAGCAACGTAGCTTCCCTTTTTTTGTTTAGCCATAAACACTGCTCTCTGTTGTTCTCTGTGCACACTTGGCTGGCTCCGTGACTCTTGTATACACAAGCTTTCACATATTTTAGAGCTTGGTCGATTGTCATGCTGCTCCCTCCAGCTTGATGTGGAGGAGAATCAGAATAAGTCCCTGTTAAGTTGGAGCCCTAGTCAGGAGTCAATGGTGTAATTGTGCTTCAAATCCAGATAGCAACTGAACTAACCATACCCACAAACAGTTGCTGGGGCGGCTAGCTCGGAGCATGCTCCTGGCTACAGCTGTGCAGCTGATCCCCTGAGTATCACTATGTCATGAAGTGCCACCTGATTCTCAAGGTCACTTGGGCTGTGCCTCCAAAGGTATGACCAGGGTCTAAGGCTGCAGAGACATGTTATGTTGAATATGAAATCAGGGTCACTGAAGGTGTTTAAAATATTGATAGAGACGATGATCAAATTTTCATATTGGCAGGGATGGCCTGCACTAAAACAGACCCATGGGTGGCTGCTGAGAGTGTGACTGTTGACTTAGCATTATTTATTGATCACCAGCCACTGACTGTGATGGGCCACATCAATCAGTCATCAGCAGTGACAGAGCAGCTGTATTGACATTAACTCTGTTGCTCTAAATAACTGAATTTAAATCATATATATATATGTATATATATATAACACAAGGGTGGGGCGGTATGACTATTTCATATCTTAAACGAGTATTAGGAGTATGAGGGAAAAAATCAGAGCCTTCGAGAATAATATCACAATATTTTGGAAAAAGTAAGAATTTTACAACAGCCATAACTTTGCAAGAATAAAGTTGTTATATTGCAAAAAATGAAGTTGTAATGTACAAGAATAAAGTGAAAGTTGTAATTCTTGGCCATGTGTCATATTAAAGGGAGAATATCATAGATCAGCCTGTTGCCTGTGTTCAAATGTGGAGCATTTAATATTGTATTAATATAGTGTTGAAAGTTAAATATCTCAGCCCTGTTCCGCAGCTCGTATATAATTAACTCCTGCTTCCCTAAAATTCTGTCCAACATCAAATTCATCTCGCAGCCACAGAATAACCATGTTTAAGCGGGAAAATGCTGCATGCAAATAGGGTTTCTTTCAGTAACAGTCCAGTGGCTGCAGCCCTCATCCTTTCATCAAAAGAGAGACAATTACTTTTGTCTTCATGAAGAGAGTATTGAGACTGACTGAGGAGACATAGAGCAGACAGGTGTTTCCCATGTGTCTGCCTCTGTCTGTCTCTGTCTCCCTGCCCCCTTCACCCTCCCTTACCACTCTGTCACTGACAATTACCAGAGGGCCATGATGTCATCCACTAATGGTTATGTGAGAAGCTGAAAGGAAGGCAGACTTTGGCGTTTGCAATATGGATGGTGACCCAGACTGTGTGTCTGTCTCTTTGTCTGAATTCTCTCAGTCAGTGTTTTTGTCAGTTGTTGAAGCGGTTTTCAGAAAACGAGTTTCTCTCAAGGTGGGAACAATACAATCAGATTTGTGACGTGTCTCCACTTCTCCACTATCCACAAATGAAGCTGAATTATCCTGGATAAGAACACTGCCATTGGTTTGTTTGAAGCCAGCACTGGAGATCGGGGGATGGAGTTACAGTGCCGAGGTCATTTTGATACAGACACAAGACCAATCATGAGTCAGTGTGAGCTGAGCCATGTTGTTTCACCCAGTTTGCTTTTTTATCTCCGCCCAAAAGCCTTGAGCCCTATGTCACTATGTTAAAGATCGGATCTGCTTTGATATTGTATGGGGTTTTACTTGGGTGATTCCCTAACCCTTACATTTTTTTAAATCCTGCTAACTAAAAAACACACACAGATGAAAATATAACATAATAAAAATGAAACCTATCTGAGAAAAATTCAATTGAACAAACATTAGCGTGATAGGTACTACCATCCACCAATAACATGGAGGAGGCAGGATTTATGACCTGTACTGCAGCCAGCCACCAGGTGGTGATCCAGATGCTTTGGTTTCATTTTTGGGGCGTAGTCATCTTTATTTACAATCTATGACAACACATGATCACTCACATTACACGGTCATGAAATGTGATATGATCTTCATCTAAATCACAGGTGGAGACAAATGCAATGTGCTGAAGCTCATAACACATAATCATTTATTATCTTTAGGGTCTTTTTACATTACTTGGGGAAAGCCCCATAAGGATTTTTTTTACCTCCTAGTTTAATTTCTCATAATTTCTCAAAGTCCTTTGCGGCCTTTGCTCTATCTCAGCAAATAACTGAGCCGTCGCAATGCAATCAAAATGAATTAGATTTTATTTGTGGCCACATGGCTTTGCCTCTGCAGCACTTCTGTTTCATTCATTCTGCTGCCTCCTATGTGTGTCAGGGTGATTGATGACCAGCAAGAGCGGGGGGGTGATGGAATGGCAGAGGAAAAAAGCAGCAGGTGTGTGTGTGTGTGTGTGTGTGCTATTGATTTTCAATAGCTCTGTCAATGTCCATGTGCACGGAACGTTTGACAAAGAGCATCGGTTGAGATGTGACGAATCTCCAGCAAGCTGCAAGAGCTGCTCAAATAAAAATCAACAGAGGGATGATTAGCCACTGTGAATAATAAATGAACAGATATATATGCAGTGTTTAATTATGGCTTGTATTTTTGGTGCAGAAGGATGAATATACAAGCTGAAACGATTGAGTTGCTTTGCCAAGGAGGTTATGTTTTCACTCTGTGTGAAATTTGGTGCAGCTTGATTCAGTGTAAGGGGACTGTTGGGCCCTTGTGGAATATCTGCTCTACTAAATCCAGTTCTTCTGGCCCCTGATTTAGAAAAATCCAAGATCTACCACTGAGCTATGTGCTACTTGTATACAATTGGTATTACTGGAGTATTCCACTAGAGGGCAAACTACAGAACTCAGACTACTGTATACAGAGCTTCTAGGTTTGCATTCTGTAAATTAAAAAAAGACGAGGTTAGGTTAGCTAACGTTACTTCTGAGATTATGGCAGAAAAATCTGCCCCTACAATTCCCCTACTGTTCGTGTGCATATTGCATCTTGTGGACACGTGCGCAGGATACGTGATGCAGTCATGATGCATACAAATAAATCTATATGGTGTAAATATTTCTTTAACTGTGACAAACCAGGAAATTCCATGAAATTGATGCTGTGCAGATATAAATACAACAGAGGTTACAGAAAGGACTAACTAAAACATCTTAATTGCAGCAGCATGTGTTGCATGTTGTACATGGTTGAAGTGTCACATCCATCATAATCTCAACTCCCAGAGGTTCATCAGTAAGTAGGAGCAATTTATAGCCCTCTGCTCTCTGTCCTTCACGTTTTCCCTGTAACACTGCTGCCTCACAATACGGCTGTCAATACCAGGCACTTGTCCCTTTAATAGGTCTATCTTCTGCGATCTTAATCCAGTCTACTCAGCTCTCTTCAGCTCAGCCAAGTGGTGAAAACCAAATGACATGGCCCTCCGAGGTTATTCCGTGTTAACATTGTAGAGTGTTTGTGTGGACACAGGAAGGCAGATGACAGCTGAGTGAAAAGGCATTGATCTCAATCTGTAGGTAAACAGGAGTAAACAGCGAGCAGAAGCTGTGACCTTCATCTTCTTAGCAAACAGTGTCTTCTAACACAAAATGGAGTATAAAAGAATGTTAATGTAAAAGAATGATGGTATAGAGCTGGTGAGTTGTCCGTCATTGCGCTCTTCAGCGAGACACTTGATCCTATATGACTTGAAGAGTGACTCAATGTGGGTGAAAGTATAGAGAAGACAGAATGTCCAGAGATTATCCAGAGTCAGTGCATGGCTGAGAGAAGCTTCAATAAAACAAAAAAGCACAAGAGCTATTAGAGCTCCACATCCACATTATAGTATTGTAAAATCATTGTGATCTCCACTGCAAAGAAATGTTGGAACTATGACCATGTTTAATATGTATCCAACTCTGTAAGATTATATATACCTCTGCGGCGAGAAAGACCGGGGACACTTGAGTGCCATCAGGTATCAGATCTGACTAGTTAAAATGTAAACAACAGTGCAAAGACTATTAATTATGATTGATAACAATTAATTGGCATTACACTAATGGCTACATATCTGCTCCATCATCCATCTTCTTCCTGGCAATTATTCAGACAGTCCTCACACAGGAAGCTCTTTTTGACCAGACAAAGTTTCTGTCGTGTATGACTCATGGCTGTTCATCCTCAGTGAGGATGGGGTTCCTGTCCAGGTTGACCCTCTCCAGTTTCTTCAGCCTTGAGAGACAGTGGGGTTTGCGGGTGAACTGGTTGTCAGAGAGGCCGATGTAGCGAAGCTCCGTCAAATCTCCGATGGAACCGGGAAGAACCTTCAGCTGGTTCATACCCAGGTGCAGAGTCTGGAGGTTGTTTAGCAGGCCGAGTTCTTTGGGAACCCCCTTCAGACAGTTATTACACAGGTTCAAAGCCTGCAGATTTTTGAGGTGGTAGATTGTCGCAGGGAGCTGCTCCAGCTGCAACACAAACAGGTACAATGTGGTTTGAGTGGCCAGCAGTAAGTCTGCTGACAGTCCCATCTTCTTCTACGCTCTAGGATAAACTACAGCTGTGGTCAGTAAGTGGGTCAAACCACAAAATCACAACAATTTTGATAATTGTTTTTCACCATATCGGACTCCATCATGGCAGCAACATTCAAAGAATCACCTAAGCACTACGTTTGTTTTGTTGCTATAATGCTTTGTATCAAGGGGAATTATCAAGCTTTTATTTTGAGAAGTTGTAATCCTGACCTTGAAGATTGTGTCACTTGGTAAACAGACCTCTGAAATAGCCAACATGCAATGTTTAATAAAAATAACAGCAGCTCAGTAAATC